ACCCAGAGCTGTGGTTTGAGTGCGGTTTTGTTTCTGTCCTTTTTAAAAAACCAAATGAAACACTGGGGAGGGGCAGCGGAGCCAAGGAGGAGGGCGGGCACGGTTCTCACTGTTCTCATCTTCAAACCGGGCCCTGCTGTGAGCCCCTCTGAGTTTCTGCCTGACGTCTCCAAGGCTCCCCCACACCCAGAGGAACAGCCGCCCCTTTAAGCCCTGCAGAGCTGCTCCGGCCCCGCCCCTTTTTCATGCCTTGCGTGGTGGTGAGCGGCATCCCCGTGGAGGTGCCCACCCCACGTTCCCGCTGAGAGCGGTAATTGAAGTGCTCCGGCGGCTCTGTGGTTCTAATTAGCCCGGAGTGGCTGTGGCTCCTCCTGGCTCTGCTCCTCTGCCCCCCCCCCCATTTGCCAGGTGGTCCTAGAAGGTGCGAATTAGTCCAGAGAGCAAGGGGACCCCTGTGTTTCCTCGACCGAGTGGGCCTTCCTCGGGCGGCTGTTCGGGGGCGTCTGCGGACCCGTCTGCTTCCCTTCGCTCTGCCGCCGTCCTCCCTGGGGTGGGGGTCCCGCCTCTACTCTCGTGCTCCCCTTCCCACCTGGATTCCCTTCCCGCCCGCAGTGTCCCTGCTCAGGCCGACCCTTCAGGACTCTGCTTCCGTGCCTCCTCCTCCAGGAAGCCATCCATCCCTGCTCCCCGGGCTGGGCCCACACAGTCCCCATGGGTCCCGCCCCTGGCCACACCGCGTGGTGTTTGCTTAGATCCCAGACATCCCTGGAGACGGGGGGCTCCTCGGGGCGGGGGTCTCTGTGTCTGATTCACTCCCGGCCCCGAGCAGAGGCACAGTGCGTGTCTGCTGAATGGAAGGAGAGAGAAAGGAAGGGGGAGGGGACGGGAAGGAGAGACAGGGGGGGAGGGGGACCCCTGGCCGGCACGTGTCAGAGCCAGCACCGCCTGCAGCTCACCGCACCTTCCGTCGTGGGTCTAAAACAGCCAAGAGGGGCTGCGTCTCGATTTGGCGACACGGGGGCAGCTGATGGGCACACTGATGTGACGAGGCCCGAAGGGTGGCTGGTCGCCAGGCCATTTGGCCCCACGGCCCACCTGCCGGGCCTGAGGGGTTGGCCGCAGCCGGAGCAGGGCATGTGGCCTCCAGGAGCCAGGGCGGGAGGACGGAAGCCGGCCCCGGCCAGCTGCCCGGACAGACGCAGGCGACCCGTCTGGATTGCCCCAGGCCGCCTCTCCCCCGCCACGGCAGCTCCTCCTCCCGGCGCGAGGCCGCACTTTGCAGGGTGCAGAGGCGCTCAGCAGGGGCCGCTCCTGTGGCCACCATCACACAAGTGGGGAAACGGAGGCTCAGAGAGGAGGTGACAGCCAGGAGAGGGTGGGACTCAAAGCCGGGGGCCCGAGGGCAAGTTCAGCGCATCTCACGGCCTCTCTCCGTCTCCGTCTCCTTTCCGGATTCTCGCCCTGCCCCTTCTTCCCACACCTGCCCAGCGCTGTGACTGGGTGTGCACGCAGGTGACGATAACGTGGCACTGAGCGCAGTGACAATTTGGGGGCAGTGTTCCGTGGCCAGGCACTTCGGTCTTTGTTGCCTTGTTAAACCCTCACAGCCCTGAAACGGCTGCGTCCTGCCCGGACCAGGGACCAGGAAGGGGCTCGGGGCACGCCTGCCCCTTGCTGGGAGTCAGGCGGCCGGTACAGTGCGGTCCCCCGCCCAGCCCAGCCCAGTCGGCGCCTGGCCAGCGGCTCTCGAACCCCAGCGCCCCTCGGGGGGCTTTGGTCAAATGCAGATTCCAGGTGCCAGCGATTCTGACCCAGCGGGTCCGGGTGGGACCCTTGGAGAGAAGCCAGTGACGGAGCTGTGCGCCGTTCAGGGCTTGTGCTGCGAGAAAACCATGAGCAGGCTGGCCCCTCTCGGCCCCCTTCACCTTGACCTCGGGCCACCTGCTGGCCTCGGGCCATCTGACGGCTGGACAGACCACAGGGGTCTGATCTCGGGGCGGCACCTGGCGGGCTGTACTGGGGTCCGCCCTGGGCGTCACCCCTACAGCCTGACCACGGGTCCAGCCTGCCCCGCCGTTCGGGGGGTGCTCCCCAAAGCTGCAGCAGAGAGCACTCCCTGAAGACGCTGGCCGTCACCGTGAACGGAGTCAGACGTCCTGCGGCCCAGGCCCGGGGACGCGTGCCCTGGTCTGCGGTCTGGGCGTTGCTCCCTAGGTGTTTCGTGGGAGAGAGGGGGCGGGGCCTGGGGGCCGGGACCCTGAAAGCTGCACCGTGAGGTGGAGTCACAGAGCCGTCACACGCGCCTCTGAGCTGCCGCCGCCGTGAGTTCCGTGGAGGCTGGCAGGGACGATGAGAAGGAGCTTCAGCCTTCTGTTCGGTCAAGGCTGGTGACTCCTTTGAGTCATGCTTCTTCCTCCTGAGCCCCCGGCCTCCACGGCCTCACTGGGGCTTCCAACCCCGGGCAGCCCCGGAGCTGCCCACGCGCAGAAGACAGAACCGAGTGTGGGAGGAGAGGTGGGACCAGCCCGTGGCCGCACAGCCAAGGCGCCGGGGCCCGGATCCATGCCAGGACGTCTGGCTGGTCCACAAAGAGCTTGGGGGGATGTCCCGGGGCCAGGGAGGGGGTGTCCCTCTCCGCAGCTTCAACAGAAGTCACGGTCCCACCTCCTTCAGCCGGGGGGGGGGGGAGGTGGGGGCGGAGGAGGCAGGGAGTGCGTCCACTGTGAGCTGCCCGCAGATGTTAGGGTCTGTTACTGTGGCAACCGCCTGCACGCCCGCCCACGCTGGCGCTGGGCACCAGGGTTACACTGCCACTTTAATTTAATAGCATTGTTATTATCCATCATAAAAGTAATATAAATTATGCACATGTGCCGTCTCTTCAAACCGTATATGTTGAATACGTGCATTTTTGCATATCCATTTATACCTCAGGAGAGCTATTAAGACAGACACTCATTACAGAAAAATCTAGAAAACAGGGAAAAGTAGAAAGAGAACAAAAAAAATCATTTATGTCGATGACCTTTCAGCAACCTTTGCTAACAGGATGGAAAATTCCCTTCCAGCCTTTCTCTCTGCCGGTTTAGCTGCTGTTTAACATGGTCGTGATCACTGGTCTATATAATTAAAAACATTTTAGATACGATTTTACATCCTGCTCTTTCCCCCTTAGGGGGCCCTGATGGGAAATAGCAAGAACCAGAGCCCCGTCGGCCCCCAGTGCTGCTGGCTGCGGCCCCCGGCCCTGGGGGGTCCCCAGCCCCGGGCCGGCTGGGGGGCGACTGGCCGGGGGGCAGTGTCGGGCATCTCGGAGTCAGGGAGCGCTCCCCAGAGAGCCGCTTCCTGGTCTGGTCTGGTCTTTCTAGGTTTAACGAAATGTGCGTTTCTCTTGACGGACGAACACGTCCGGCCTGTCGTCTGCCTCCGACACACCTTCTTTCTCCGCTTCCCTTGGCCGCTGGCAAGGCCGGCGCTGACCTGTGGTTCCGAGGCCGGTGCCGGGCCGGGCTGCCTCCGCCAGGCACTGACCGGGAAAGGGAAACACACGTACTGAGTGAAAGTGGGCAGAGCACTCGGTGCTGAGCGAACAGCTCTGGAGACGAGAGGTGGCTGGTCCCTTGGAGAAAAGCAAGGAGCCCGCAGTGGGAGCGGGCAGATCGGGGCCAGGCTGGAGGGAGGGCGTCGGTTACCCTGAACTGAGTGAGAAACAGGGAACTCTCTGGCTTTCAACATGAAATATTCGTGACCACGCGTCTGCTGATTCGGCGGCTTGTTGGGGCCCCTGGGGCCCTGCCTGGGGCTGGCTTGGCTGAGTGGGTGGGGGGGGTCTGGCACGGACAAGTCCTCTGGCCTCCTCCCCGCCTTCCCCGGGATCCACGGGCAGCCTGGGTAGGTCCTTGCCTGGGCAGCGGCTTGTCTGCCGGCGTCCCGCGGGCCCAGGGAACCCTGGGGCCGGCCCAGAGCAGGTCACCAGGAGCAGGGGGCACGGGGAGGGGGGTGGCAGCCGTGCTAGGTTCCACGTGCGGGTACAGGAGGGGGCACAGCTTCCGGGTTCTCACGGGGTCTGCCTCCGGGGACTGCGGGTCACAAACAGCTTTCACCACTCTGAGGCCTTCGCTTTACTCCGAGACAAGACAGGCAGCCACTGGCAGCTTTGGAGTGGGCCCCCACTCGCCTCCTCCCTGTGGAGGCCCGCCGTGACCCGGGCGTGGGGGGCGGCAGGGAGCGAGGACACTGCGGGAGGCTGCGCGGTCACCCACCCCAGGAGAGGCAGAGGGGCTGGGGCGTGCGCATCGTGAAGACAGAGCCGGGGCGGGGAGGGAGAGGCCGGGAGGGAGTCAGGGGACCCTTGGGCCCCCTGGCGGGGTGCATCCCCTGAGGGTGGGGGCTGCCCCAGAGGAGGGAGGCTGGGAGGGGTCAGGATCCGGTTTGGGGACCACGGAGGGTTTTGAGTGGAGACACCCTCTGTCGCCCTGGCAGCTATAAGAGAGAAGTAGGGGGCGGGGTCAGCTCAGTGGCTGCCCGGGTCCTCGGGAAGGCGGGTCAGATCTGCGCTTTGTTTGAAAGTAGGTTCAGTTTGTTTCCATCAGATTAGACCTGAGGATCACAGGGGTCCCATCCGGGGGAGTGCAGTGGGGGGGACAGGGGCAAGGAAGGGGCATAGTTGGTCTCAGGGGCCCCCAGAGTTGGGCTAGTAAGTGTCTGGTTTGCACCCCGATCACCTGGTCGGCCCGGGAGGACCCCGTCAGCTGCTTCTGGAAGGAAGCGAGGAGGCGGAGCGAAGGTGGCCCGAGAGCAGGTCTCCGTTCTGCAGCCAGTGGGGCAGGGGCGGGGGCGGGGCCGGGGCAGCGGGTCCCCGCCCAGGGCCCCCACCCCTGGGGCTCCTGCCGCCCGGGCGGCGGGGGGGCCCCGCTCAGGGGCGCAGGGCCTCTGGGGGTGCTGAACTGCACAGCACTGGGGCGCTAACGAGCCACGCCTTCCTGTCTCCCCTCCACCAGCCGATATCATCTCTACGGTCGAGTTCAACCACACGGGAGAGCTGCTGGCCACCGGCGACAAGGGTGGCCGGGTCGTCATCTTCCAGCGGGAGCCAGAGGTGCGGCGGGGCCTGGTGGGTGGGTGGGTGGGGGGGCGTGTATCCTGCAGGGTGCCACCCTGCATTCCACCAGGGCGGGTCCCTGGGGAAGCTGCCTGCCTTCCCGGCAGGACCCCGGGGCCGGACGGCAAGGGTGTGCTGGGGCGCGGGGTGGGCACCGGCCGGTCCGGGCAGGGAGCCCTCCGGGCCGCCCCGAGGATGTTCGTCCACTGCTGGCGGTGCCCCGGGCCCCGGGAAGCAGGAAAGCGGAGCCGGCTGCTGTCCCGGGACAAGCCTCCGATTAAACCGCCGTGTGCCTGGGTGAGCTGGCGGGGTCCCGGCCGTGGCCACACAGGGAGGACGCGAGGGGCCTTCCGCGGCTGTGCGGCTGGCCCTCGGGCTGGGCCGGGGGTTTTGCTCAGCCCTGGGTCCCTGCCCAGCGACCGTCGTGGTCCGTTAGAATTCGGGCAAGACAGGCACTGCCTGGAACACCCCACCCGGGGTACTGTTTTTGAACCACTGAAAGAACCTCGTGGTAAAAAAGCTCCCACTTGCTGAGCACCTACTGTGTGCAGACACCTTGCTACATTCTCTACGCCCTTTTCTCATTGACTCTCATCACCCACCTCCGAGGGTGGGGACTGACCCCCATTTCACAGGTGAGGACACTTGGAGTGGTCACCGCAGCCTGTGTGCAAACCCTGGGGCCTGAAACCAGGACCGAGAGGGGGCGGCTCGGGCATCACCCAGGTGCTGGGGTCCTAGGCTGGACGAGGAGCTGGGGGGAGAGGGGGAGAAGGGAGGGGGAGAGAAGAGGGGTGTTGCATTCAGTCCCTAAGTGTCACCCCCTCGAGGTCTGACTTGACCCGTGTTTGCTCCCAGCACCCCCCTCACCACGGCCCTAGGGGTGCTGTGGTCATCCTGACTCCACAGACTCGGACTGGAGCTCGGGGGCCCTGGGGCAGCTTAGCGAGGACACAGCAGTGTCCACATGCAGTGTCCACACGGGGGGCCGTGGCTGGAGCGTGGCGATCTCACGGGAGCAGCCGGCGCCCCGCACGGGGGGTTGCAAAGCCAAGCCTGCATTTTGCCACACCGCAGAGAGAAATTTAATGAGTGAGGCCAGATTCTTGGTTTTAAATTTTTCTCCTGTAATTTTTTAAGTTAATTCTGGCCCTGCTGACCTTGGTCGTAGCCGGGGCTCTAGGGAGACGTAGTGAATTAGAGTCAAAAATATTGAAGAACTTCAAAGCTCTCTGGAAGCAAGACAGGTAAAGCCATGGAACAATGGGTACTTCTAGAAAAATGAACAGAAAACCTGGATTTGCTCCCAGGCAGTTACGTTTCTGGTTGTATTTCCATGTTGTCACATGAACTTGAACTGTCTGCTGGCCCCTGGTGGCCCCTGGTGCCCGGGATGGACTCCCTGCCTCACTCTTCGGGGGGCTCCCCCAGGAGGGCGCTACCCACACCGGGGTGGGCCCCGCCCGAGGAGGAAAGTCGGGGGACAGTGTTCTGCCTCGGGTCTGACGCGACAGGACGTTCCGCCCGGCGGGGAACCTGCTTCAGAACGTGTTCGTGCCTCAGTCAGGCCCCGGCTGGACACTCGGACGTGGGGGGCAGGTCAGACCCCAGGGAGCGCATTGAGCTCAGTGGACACGTGGCCTTGGCAGGTCCAGCCACCCCTGAGCCTGCGCTCGCCGCACCTGTAAAACGGGGAGAGTCACGGCACCCCAGGCAGAGGGGCCTCGAGGGTAGAGGGGGATGAGGCGTGAGACACGTGTGGCACGGTGGCCCGCACACCGCAGGTGCCCAGTGGACACGAGCCAGCCCTGTACTGTTGCCCTGACTTCCCAGGCCAAGGAGGAGCGGGGGCTTGGCCACGGCACACAGCAAGGAGATTTAAAAAGCAGGGCTTCCTCTGACCCCTGGGTGGGTCCAGGGGCCCTGCTGGCCACCCGGTCGCTGTGGTTGTCGGGGGGCCCCCCGTGGTGTATCCCACCCCGGCCCCGGCCTGGGGCCCAGGCCCGGTCCCACCCGCCCTGCGGGCCTGGAGCTCAGGACCCGTCTGGGTCTCCTCGCAGAGCAAGAATGCGCCCCACAGCCAGGGCGAGTATGACGTCTACAGCACCTTCCAGAGCCACGAGCCCGAGTTCGACTATCTCAAGAGCCTGGAGATAGAGGAGAAGATCAACAAGATCAAATGGCTCCCCCAGCAGAACGCCGCCCACTCCCTGCTGTCCACCAACGGTGAGGTGGCACGGTGTGCTGGTGTGCACGTGGGCCTGTGCGGCGGAGTGTGGGGGTGCCCGAGCATGTGTGTCTGTGCATCCGAGTATGTGAGTGTCTGTGCATGTGTCCGTGTGCCTGAGCGTGTGGGTGCCGGAGTGTGTGTCTGTGCATCCGAGTATGTGGGCGTCTGAGTGTGTGTGTCTGTGCGCCCGAGCGTGTGGGTGCCTGAGGGTGGGTGTCTTTGCACCCGTGTGTGTCTGTGCATCCGAGTATGTGAGTGTCTGTGCATGTGTCCGTGTGCCTGAGCGTGTGGGTGCCGGAGTGTGTGTCTGTGTGCCCGAGTGTGTGGGTGTGCTTCTGTGGCTGAGTGTGTGTGCACCCAGCTGTGGGCGTGTGACGCAGCAATTTACCATCAAATGCTTTCCTGCCTCACTCTCGCGGCGAGCGTCCTCCCCGTCTGCGGGCCCCTAGCAAACTGCATGTGAGCAGCACGTGAGTTCCGCGCAGTGAGCGTGTTCTGGCGTCCTCGGCCTCTTTCCCGTCGGACACCGGGCTGTTCCCACGGTTTACATGGCAGTCCCCGGACATCGCTGGGGACACTTTCCTCCCGGGTGGAGGGTTGACATTTACGATGAAGGAGGCCAGGAAACATGGGGACATGTGAGGCAAACTTAACTCTTCCCCTGCACCCCAGAACCCCAGTCCGCCCAGAGCGGGGTCATCCCTAGGTGGAGTGACCACGCACAGGGTCGGGAACCTGGCTGGCCCTTTGCCGTTCAGGCCCCCGAGGAGGCTCCCGGCTGGACTCCTGCTTCGTCGTGGTCCATTCCGAGGGCGTGGCCCCTGGGGTGGCCCTGCCTCGGCCAGCACCCGGCCTGGGGCCGGAGGCTCCGCTTGCCCCGTGCTCCGCCTTCTGCTCATCCCCCCTCTTCTGAACCCCATCATCAGAGCCACCGGGGGCACAGGCGGGCAGGCAGGCCCACATTCTGTCCCACCCCTGTGACCTCGGGGAAGCGCCCTGAGCCTCAGTTTCCTCATCTGTGCACCGGGGTGGACACAGCCCCCTCTGGGGTGTGGTCACAGTGAGGTCAGTCTTTCTGGAAGTCAGCAGAGAGACTGACAAGCACCCTTAAACGGGTCATGCCCTTTGACCCAGCGATGTCACCGTTAGGATCCCCGGTGAGGAGCTAGAGGAGGAAGACAGGCGTCCCGCAGGCGAAGGCATGCGCCACATCCGTGTACACGGGAGAGAATCAGAGGGCACCCACCGTGAGGGCTGAGGGATTTCCGCACGATGCGTCCGTATCACGTGGACCAGGGAGGTTGCCCCCTTCTCTGTGTAATCCTGCGTCTTGCTTCACTCTGTTTTTAAAGACAAAACCATCAAGCTGTGGAAGATCACCGAGCGAGATAAAAGGCCCGAGGGCTACAACCTGAAAGACGAAGAGGGGAAACTGAAGGACCTGTCCACGGTGACGTCCCTGCAGGTAAGGTGTCGGCCATGGGCGAGGCCGGCGCGCGGGAGGCACACCTGTGGCTCTTCGCTTAAAACCAGGATTTTAGGGTGCGAAGGGCCCTTGAGATTTGAGCCCAAGTCAGGTTCAGGTCCCGGCTGCGGTCACCTCCCTGCTCTGTGCCTCAGTTTCCCCGGCAGCCAAGGGGAGATGGCCATCTCCTCCTGGCATGCCGGGGAGGATGGGGCGAGGGGCTGCGCACGCAGCTTGCAGCCACACCTGAGTGTGCAGAGCGGGTCCGGTAACCCCTGGTCGCACGGAGAGGGACGCTGAGGCCCAGAGGCGGGCAGGGAGTCACCCGAAGCCGCCCAGCTGAGCGAGTGGCAGAGGCTGTGGGCGGAGCTGAGTGGGCTCAAGCCCTTTGCTGAGGGGCACAGGGAAGGGTTGCCGTTGGTTTACAAAAAGCCCGGAGAGCCGTGCTGGAGCGCACTGCAGTCCTCACTGTGGTGAAAAGGCGAGAGGACCCTTCTATCTCCCAGCAGTGAGATGTGGAAGACAGAGTTCTGGAGTCAAATCCCTGGGTTCAAATCCCGCATCTGCTACTTCCTGGCAGAGTGACCCCGGGCCGGGCTGTCGGCCTCCGCCAGCCTCCGATTCTTCGTCGAGACCAAGTCTGAACCTGTGGCCGGCACGTGCCTGCTACGCACTCTGGCTGGAATGGCTCGCTGGACCCTCGCCACAGTCCTACTGCGTGGGGCTATCACCCCCATTTCAGAGATGCGGGATCTAAACCCCGGGGAGTCCCGTCTCCTCTGTGACGTGGGCATGCGGTCCCTGCGTCACGGGAGAGCCACGGGCCGGTTCGTGGTGTGCTGCCGGGAGGGAGGACTGTAGAAGTCCGTCTCCCCTTCTGCAGCGGGACAGGATGCACAGCGGCACTGCCCTGGCTGTCCCGGGCGCCCGGAACCCTGCCCGGGGCGCAGTGGGCGCAGCGGACGTGTTTGCCGAAGGGGTGTGGGTTCAGCACACACACACTGGTGGAGCACCTACTGTGTGCAGGGCCGGCTCTAGGCCTGGGAGGCTGCCGTGAACAGAGTCTGAGGGCAGGGTGGGGTCGAAGTCCTCTGGGTGTCCCCGTGCCTGGGACAGGCCTGGCTCAGAGGGGGTGGCCGCCGAGTGCCTTGAAGGAGCGGGGAGGAGTGTTGAGAAGTGACGACTGTCTTCGGAAAGGACTCTGCCATTTCCTGACCCCGTGACCTAGACAAGTCGGGTTCACCTCGGCACCCGGTCTTCTCACCGGGGATGTGGGGGTGGCCGTGCCAGCCCCTGCTTCCTGAGCGTGGAGCCCAGGCCACGGCCGGGAGAGATCCATGAGGCTGCACCGCTGAAGACCTCGCGGCGGAGGGGCACGGCACACGCAGCAGTGTCGGCGGAGAGCCCTGACGGCAGTGTGGGCGGTGGGCCACCCCTCCCTACCAGGACAACCGCCCTTCCGGGGCGCTGTTGCCCCCGGGCCCTGCAGGAGGAGTCACGGGTCCCTGGCTGTCTGGAGGGGTGAGCGCTGCAGGTGGAGGGCATGGCAGGAGGCAAAGGTGCACTCCCTGACTCTGTCCCAGCCCGCCTCACGCCCGCCCTCCGGGGCAGTGAGGCTAACCCTGGGGCCGTAACAAATGACCCCAGCCTTGGAGGGCAGGGCTCCCGAGAATGTCCTTCCCCTTCCTAGAACAGTGCAGTGTGGATGACCCCACTGGGCACACACAGGCCCCTTCCATTCCATGTGCCTCCGCCCCAGAAGCTTCCTTTGGTGGAAGGGGAGAGAGGGTAGAAATGGCACACTCACCTTTTAACCACTGAGCCCCTAGTGCCGGGCATCACTGTACTCACATCCCATTGGTCAGGACCAGTCATGTGACCACACCTGGCTGCAAGGGCAGCTGGGAAATGTAGTCCCTATCTGGGCATCCCCCTTGTCACTTCCTGGTGGAAGGGTCGCCAAGGTTTGGTGAGGAATCAGTGGACTCTGCCGTGGGATCTTCTCATTCCATTTTAAAGATGTGGAAATTGGGGTGCAGAGGGGTTCAGTCACCTATTCAGTCGCATGGTGGGCTCAGAACCAATCCCAGGAGGCCAAGCGAGGGAGGTGGGCTTTGCTGCAAGGCTGGCGGTGGCGGACACTGGCCGCAGGGCACTGCCGATCTCCGACACGTGCGGGACCGGTGCCCCCGCCCCACGGCCCCGCTCTCACGCCCCTGCTCCCCCCCACTCCCGTAGGTGCCCGTGCTGAAGCCCATGGACCTGATGGTGGAGGTGAGCCCGCGGAGGGTCTTCGCCAACGGCCACACCTACCACATCAACTCCATCTCCGTCAACAGCGACTGCGAGACGTACATGTCGGCGGACGACCTGCGCATCAACCTCTGGCACCTGGCCATCACCGACCGCAGCTTCAGTATCCTTCCGCGGCTCCCGCGGGGTGTGCGGGGGTGCTGGCTGCCTGGCCGGCGAGCGCGCGGGCTTGGGGGCTTCCGCCTGGCTCGGCTTCGTCCGCGAGTCCACGGTGGGTGGGTGACTGCAGCCCAGACGTGCGGTCATGCGGAGTTCATCGACAAACGCTGTAAAACAGCGGCTCGAAGGTTACAGTAACCCCTCGCCACCTGCAGGGTGGCTGGGACCCCGTCCCCCTGAGACCTCACCAGGGAGGAGGGGGAGGTAAGGGTCCTGGAGTCAGCCCTCTGGGGGGGTGGGGAAGGGACAGCCGACCCACCTGGGACCATCGGCCAAGTCTCCTCTGGGACCCACTTCCCTGGGCCCCACCCAGGGCTTAGGGGGACAACTGGGTGTGAGCGGCCCAGCCACATGGAGTCAGGGGGGGCCTGCTTGGTGGACCCCTGTGTTTGGACAGGGGAGGGGCCATGGGATTGAGTCCAGCCCCCACTGACCGGTGAGGAGTGAGCCGGTGACGCAGGACTGTGGGCCGGGGGCAGGGCTGAGACCCGGCCCGGCGGGGGCTGCAGGGGACGGAGCAGGCGGGCTGCCCGGCGGTCACGGTGCTGAAGGCTGACGAGGACAATAATAGCCACAATCACAGTGCGGCTCTCGTCCAGTGTCAACACGAGTTAATATGACGCCCTCACCTCTCCCCCTCACAACGGCCCGGTGACGCAGGCGCTGCCCTGACGCTCCTCTTCACATCGGGGAACTGAGTCACGGGGAGTCCCGACTGACGTGCTGGGGGCTCACTCCTGGCCCGGGTCGCGCCCCGGCCCCCAAGCCTGCGTTTCCCACTGTGACACCCGGCTGCTCTTTGGAAGGTCGCCGCCCAGGTGTGTGTGAACGAGGGAGGCCCCGTTCCCGAGGCTGGAATCGGACGGAGGCGCCAGCCCTCCCGGAGCGGACGGGTCAGAGACTGTTAACACGAGAACTCATAAAACGCCCGGCCCCCTGGAAGGGCGTCGGGGCTGCGAGCTGGTCCCTGGGTGGGCCCGGCGAGCGTGCTGGCGAGCATGTTTCCCCGGCCGGCCGACTGAGGCTGCAGGCCGGGGCCGGTGGAGAGGGAGCCTGGTTGGGGGGGGGTGGCTTTGCCAAGTGAACGAGGGGACATGGGGCTGGTGGCGTATGCACAGTAGCGGGAACAGCGGTTGGCCCTGGGATCTAAGCCGGGGTGGGGGCGGGGAGCCAGGCCCAGTGACAGGAAGGCAGCGTCTGTGGATTGGGGGTCCCCGTGGGAACCCGGGGCCTCTCCTGGCTGCAGGTCCTGCCTGTGTGTAGCCTCCAATTTTGTGGAAATGAATCAGTAGTTGATGGAATATAAGAGCGTCCTGGCCCTCAGCAGTGGCGGAGTGGGTGTTAACTCTGCTGAAGGTGGAGTGGGGGGCGTCCCAGCGGCCCTGACCTGTGGACCCCCAGGGCCCACTGGGCAGACGGGAGGAGTCGGCGGGGTCTCTAGGGTTGGGGTGGCTTGCAGACCTCCCCTGGTCAGACGGGTTCTTCAGGGAATCAGGCTGCAGGTGCTCTCCACGTGGCCTGCGGCTGCTCGGCCGCCAGAGTGACCGGACCCAGGGAGACCGGACACCTGTCCCAGGGACACTGTCAGGACAGCGGGTGGCGGGTGCGATGAGGGGTCGGATAGCAGCCTGGCAAGGAGAAAAGGCGTCTCATTTCCAGGGCGGGAGGAGGCCTGGAAGCCCTGCTTGACGCTGAGCCGCTGCTGGACGCTGAGCTACAGCACTGCGCTGAACTTGAGACGCCCTTGGAGCAAGTCCCTGCCAGGGAGCTCCGGACCTGGGGGTTCCGCCCCTTTGACACTGGCTGTCTGCTGTCTTGGCTTGTCCTGCTGCTGCTGCTGCTGCTGTCCAGGGAGTTCTCAGCTGTGCTACCGTGTCCTTGTGTCCAAACAGTAACACTTTCCAGTTATAAGCAGAATTGCTTTTTAGCAAGGGTTTTAAAGAGAAAGGGAAGCTTTTTCAGTAAAGGTGAAGCGTGGGCCTTGTTTTGGCCACGAATCGCAGAACTGGCCGCTCTGAACACAGGGAGGGGCCGGGACCACCTGAGCCTCTCCTGTGCAGACCCTCGCTCAGCCTGCCACCAAGGCTAACACCAGGGCACCCAGCCTCCCTCGCCCTTGCCTGCAGGGCGGGAAGAAGTGCCGGGCCCTCCCGTTCCCCCCCGGTGGCTCTGGCATCAGGTCCTGCTCTCCATCCCCATCAGGCTCAGCTCGGCCACACTGGTCCTGCCCAGCCCGCTGCCTGAACCCCACCCTGTCCAGCCCCCCCGCCCCCCACAGAGCCATGAGAGTGGCTCACTGGACGTTCTGGTCTGACCACATCACACCCCACCAGCTCCTGGGTGAAGTCCGACTCCCTCAACAGTGTCTCGTGGCCCTTGGTGACCGGCCCTGCCCTCCTCCCCGGGGTCCTTTGCATCAGGCTGGCCCACCCCTCAGACCTCTGGGTTCCCTTTCATGTGCGTCACAGGGCTGGGGCTGTGCTCCACCTTCTGCGGCCCCGCCTCTGGTCATCCTTTTCGCTGTCACAGCCGGGTTGGCTCCTGTGGGCCCCCTCCGCCCGGCCACCTGTGTGGGGTCCACTCCGCACCCCTCCCAGGCTGGTCAGAGCCCCCCCGGGCCCACACTCCCCATCACACTGGGCCTCCCTCATCTGCTGATACGACCACCTCCCCCTGCTCTGGCGAAATGCCCGAGATGAGGAACCCAGTCCGCACCCTGTCTGTAGCCCACGTGCAACGCAGGGCCCGGCCCATAGTAGGCACTCACGAGCGGTGGTAGGCGGTGACTCGGGGGCAGGGAGGCGCACAGTTTCCAGCTGGTCCTGGGACGCGGACGCCACCCTGTGACCGTGGGCTGTGGGGTGCTCAGGTCCCAGACACCGCAGAGACCGGGCCCAGGAGACCCTGGCTCCGATTCGCCGCTCCACTTCTCGGACGGGTGGGACCTGGACCGAGTCCCGGTCGGGAGGGGGGCCCGTGGGAGGGGCAGAGGAACTAGTCCCGTAAGGGCCGGCAGGAATCGGGCTCCGGCGGGGGGCTGGCATTATTTCCCCCTTAAACAACAGAATTCCTGCTCTTCTCTGATTGTTCCTTTGCCCCCGTGTCCTCTTCACGCCTCTCCAGGAAGCCCTCCCGCCCTCGAGAGCCGGCATCCTGAGGCCATCGGGCAGCGCCGGGCGGTTTCTCCCGCGTCCGGTGCCTCTCGAAGGCAGTGCACAAGGCGCAGGCGGCCTCGGCCGGACGACCTCTGCTCTGCGTTGAGCTCCGGAGAATCGCGAAGGCGGTTCCATTGATTCTCCTCGTCCCCGAGCAAGTTCTCGCGGCGAAAGCTGGCATCCCACCAGCCCTTGGTCTGGAGCAAATGTCCGGTTCCCGTCCGCAGAGCGGCCCCGGAGCGGGGCCGGGGGAGGAGGAAGCAGTCTGGGGCCCGAACCTCGTCTGCTCACAGCAGCTTGAGGCCTGGGCTTGTCCCTGAAGCTGGGGACGGTGGAGGGGACCGCCCAAGGCCCCCCACCCCCCCACCTGCCAGGCTCTCTGCTGCCTGGAAAACCGAAAGCAGGTTGGCCGGCTTCTGTCCCTCACAAGTGTCCCTGACAGTCGTCCAGTCTTTCTAAGCCTCCCGGTTCTGGTGCGTTCCGTGGGGCCCGCCTCTCTGGTGCCGGGGCCGGGCGGGCGGAGTGCGCAGACCCGCGAGCACTGTGGGCCCCCCACACCGGCCGTGTCTGTTCCTGCTGCCCCAGCGCCACTGTGCAGCGGCAGACACGGGGTGCCTCTGCTCGGGAGGGCCCGAGTCCGAATCCCCCGCACCAGTTTTCCAGTCGGAAAACCTGCGGTGTAACCGGGACCAGCACTCGGCGGCCGCTGTGGGGCCTCCGCAAAGCCAGGCGTGTGACCTTCCTCTGGGGCTGGTGGGGCGCCGGACGCTGTCCACGGTGCTGCTGCGTTGGCAGCCGCCACCAGGCGGTCTTTTCCCCCTGGCTACCTCCACCCCACCCGCGCCTCCGGCTGAGCGTGGGCACTCCCCCCTCGGGGCCAGACGGAGCTCTAGGCACCGTGCGCACATTAACCCAGCTCCTCCTCTCGGCCAGGATGTGGAGTTGGCATTGTGACCATGCCCCCTTTACAGGAGGAAACTAAGCCACAGAGAGGGTAGGTGACCTACCCGGAGCCACCCAGTGGGGCGTGGCAGAGCCCGGGAGCAGACCCCAGGCCTTCTGTGGAGGTGGTGCTGCCGCCCCACGCTCACCGGAGACCAGGTGTGAGGGGGGTGGGCACCTGCCACGGCCCCCCCTCCCCTGTGCCAGGCACACGGGCTGCCCATCCAGCCCCGTCCGTGGCAAAATGTTTCCTGGCCCTTGTTTCAGGCCCCGAGGGGAAGCAGGTGCTTTCCACGCCGTGACAGGCAGGCTGGGGACTGTGCGTCACGCAGGCGGCCGGGTGCGTGAGCTCCGGCAGGGGTGTGTCTCCCTTTCTCCAACTTGGGGACGTGCCGCTCTGTGGTGCTCTGACCCTTCCCCACAGGCCTCCGTGGCATTGCTGGGACACCCCGTGGACCCCCGGCCACGGCCCTGCTCCCTTCCGCCGCCCGCCCCTCAGGGCTCCGGCCTCTCGCACCTCCTCAGCCTTGCGTGTCCCCCCGACCCCGGCCCCCCGCCCAGATTACTCCTGCTCACTGTCAGGCCTTTGCCTCCGGGGACCCTCCCTGACTCTCCGGCCCACCGCAGGGCCTCCTTACAAACCCCGTCACGTGCTCCCGGAATGTCCCCCCCCCACCCCCGACACAGCGCCAACCGTGCGGCTGGTACCTGGCGGCGCTCCTGGGCTAGGAGCCCGGGGAGTCGGGGTGGCACCTGGCTGGCCCCTCTCGGAGCCAGGAGACGGCAGCCCTCTGGGGGTGAGTGCCCGCCCTCTTCCTCCACCCGGGCTTCTCCTCGCGCTTGCAGG